TCCATGCCTCATCCAGCCTACTTGGTAATCTTTACTCAGACCCACATTTTCTAATACTTAGAAATATAGAGATCAGTGTTTCTCAAATTGTGGTTGAGAAATCATGAACAACAGAATCACATAGGGGGCTTATTAAAAAGGGAAATTCCTACACTCTATTAAATCAGTCTTTGAGAAAGGGCCCTAGAATATGCATTTCAATAAAGCACCTCATGTGACTCTTTTTCTTTCTCAAGAAAGAACTCAAGAAAGCAGTCATTTAGGTGAAGCTAGTAAGTGTGGCCTGGGAGGCCTGACACCCAGCCCGTTTTCCCCATTTTCGAGCCTCAGTTTCCTCCTCCGTGAAATACAGGCGATATCGATAACCACCTCCGAGGGTTTGGGACGACTGAAGAGGGTAATGATGCAGGCAGAGCAGAATGTATGGCACTGGGCACAGAGCGAGTGCCCGGTAAATGTTTGGCATCTTCATTATCACCCATCTGCTCCCAGGAAGCACTGGAAATGTACAACCAATAAAACACCCAACAGTGAGGCTGCGGCAGGGTTGGTTACTCAGTGAAACAATATAACTAGAAGATAAATCTTTGACTTAAAATTGGGGTGCCAGAAAATTTACTATACAACTAATCCATTTTTGTTCAGGACAAATGCTAAAAACCAATGGACTACCTAGACAACACCTGGAACTGGTATCTGCCCACGTGAATCAAGAGACTGTGCAGTCACCCTGCTTACAATCCAACCTCCGAACTGCAAAGAGCCTGTCTTTGGGATGGAAAATCCCAATATTACAGTTTGTCATTTTCTGCTGGTGTCTAAAACACGTGATCCCTCTGTTGCCCAAATTGTAGGATAAATCAGGGCTAATACTATGCCTTCCAATTATGCATTAAATTATTTCTATTTACCAGAAGGAGTTACTTTTTAGGTTTGTCTCCTATACATAACAAATAACGTAACAGCATTGCCAAGTAGTTTGTCAGCAGGTCATAATTTAATTTCTGTGGCTGGAGGGCAAGGGATGATGCAGTGGAGAAACATAAATAAATATTTAGGATAGTTAGATTATTTGGACTCTCATTCTGGTGCCGTCACCAACTGGCTGTGTGATCACAGGGAAATCACTAAACTCCACTGTGTCGCAGTTCCATCAGCTGCAAAATGAGAAAAATGCCCCCTGCCCTAAGTCCCTCAGAGACTGGTAATAAGATCAAATGAGATGTCAGTGTAAGTGCTTTGAAAAAGTATGACAAAAGAACACTTATTTTTAGTAAAGGATGGAGCCTCACTTCTTAAACAGAAAGCACCCATATCTCCTTTTAAGCCACCAAATAGAATTGAAAGAGGCAATGTATAATTATAATAAAGCTCAAAAGATCTGGTCTCATGGGCCTCATCTTCCTTGCCCTCCCATTGTTGTGGCAGATGATTAATCATCAGGTTCTTGACTTCCTTCTTTGCTGATTGGCCACCCTAGGGTCGTAGCCACTTTTCAGATCCATCTTTGGGCTTTGCAGCTATGCAGGGCAAAAAGCCTTCCCTAGTGTTAGGGCATGCCAAAGCTGAACCCGGAACCCCCATTAGCCTAATTGACAGCATGACTTTCCCCTGGAGAGAAGAGTGATAATCTAGCTATTTATCTTGTCTGTAGGCTTATCACCACTGCGCTCAGGCAGAGATGTTTAAATATAAAAATGAGGTAAGGCACATTCTTGCCAGGCTATGTGCCATTAAAGCCAGGTTGGGGGTCAGAAGCATGAAAGGGGAGCATCTGGGATTGTGGTCTTCTCTGCTGCCGCTTAATGTCTCAAGCGGCCTTGGAGTACGGGGCTGCCCACGAGGGCACTAAAGGACATCTCTTTGTAATTGGGAGCAGGCTGGAGCTGTGTGGCCACTGCTACCCACGGAGCTGCTGCCTGCAAGCAGCTAGACTGCTGCTTTTCGGCAAGGCAGGAGAGGCCCATTAGAAACACGAAGGGGCAGTTTAATTCTGCAACAAGATGTGTACAAATGTATGCCTCCTATCGAAACCCATGCAACAGCTTCCAAAGTTAATTAAAAGCTAATTTTCTAATGAGGTGGCAACAACATGAAATCAGTATGAGAGCTGCAGCCAACAGCCGGTGAGGGAACAGGCCACCTCCTTCTTACAGGCTGGAGCATCCTACCTGCATCCATTAATTAGCCTCCAGCCGTATTGTTTTAATGCCGGACACCAGTATAGACTGTCACAAAGATCATAAATTGTTTTGGCGTCGCCAATATATTGTGGATACTTATTTTACAGCAGGACTCTTTCCAGTCATAACACCATAGGCAATGAGCTCCATTCCTGGAAATATTAAATCCAGGGGGCAGTGCCATGGACACTCGGTTATGTCAAGTGACATGGCGTTTTAATCCTTTGGGCAATTGTTAATTGTAAGCCAGACTTGCAATTAGCCTTAATAAATAGAGAGAAAGGGCCTTAAATTAACTGCACTTACATTGGTTTTGCCTCTTGTTTTGATTTCAAACACAGCCACGCAGGATGACTTGTGGCCATTATCCTAATGATCTGGGTCTCCTGGCCATAGTCAGAGCGTGCCAGACACCTGTGGCCGTTCCTTGGCATCCTTCACAGGGAGTGTATAATGATGTCATGCAAATAGATGCTGAGAATCTTGAAAAAATAATAATAACATTTCTACAGAAACTCCAGGTTTCTGGATATTTAAAATGTAACTTGTTTGTTCAGTTCTATCCATAAGTATTTAAAAGACATATGTAAGATCTCCAACATAATCTAAGAAATAGAATAAAAACTTATTACATAGTCATTCAGTGGTAAGCGGCAGGTAGAAAAATCCACTTTGAATTTTCTGCTTCTATGGGAAGCTTCTTGCTGCCAGCTCAATAGAAGAATCATTTTTTATTTGCTCATCCTCTTGGAAAATAGTATAGAGTTAGGGCTTTTCAGTTAGCTGGTCTTTATGTACACTCTTTCTCTCTTATTCTTGGACTCATTTTCTCTCCGTCACAGTCTTGCCGGTCGTTTCTGTCTCTCATTCTTGTATTCATTTCTAATTCTCTCGGTCTCTTGTATCTGTTCATTGTGGCTCTTTCTCTCACTCTTGCTCTCTTATATTCTTACATTCTAGCACTCTCTAGAGCGCTCTAAAACTTAGAGTATGATGTTATATCTACTTTGTTACCAGTTCAGGAAAACTTTAAGAAATGCCCCTCGCATCTCATTAGCCAACACCAAGTCACAAGTCCATACTTAAATCAATCACCAGAAAAGGGAACAAGACCATATGATTGGATTAGATTAATCAGGACCCATTCCCTGGGGCTGGGGCTGGCCTCACCTCCCCTGGAGCAATGGCTGTGCACAGAAGTGTGGCTACCTGAACAGAACTGGGGTTCTGAAGGAAGGATAAAGGGGAAAATGGCTGCTGGGTCAGCAACCAATCATGTCTGCTATGCAGATCACAAGGGAAATTTAAAGCATGGCAAACAGAGAGAACAGGATCTGAATAATAGCTCTCAGGATTGTTTCTGGAAAAGTAAGATGAGCAAAGCTGGGCCCTCTGGAGAGCAAGTAGAGTTCCACATTCTGTGAGACTAGGTCCTACCCGTGCTAGCAGGTGTGAGGAAAACCTTAACTAGTCCTAGGACGAGTAAGAGTTGGGTGTCATTCTCTTTTTCTTTCAATGGATGTTTGTTAAGTGCTTACTATATGTCTGGCACTTCAGATGACTTATGGCCATGACAACTGAACAAGATAAGGTCCTTACTCTGACAAAACTGACTCTTTAGCAGGAGAAAGAGACGATGAGCAAATTAAACACATCAAGTAATAGATTATGAAGAATCTGAGACTCATAAATAGTAGAGAATTCCTGGTTTAGCATAGGAGTTGGGAGTCTTAGCCAGGCTTGCTGGGAAGGCCTCTCTGAGGAAGCGACAACAAATATAAAGTAGCAATGGGAACTTAGAACAAGCGGAACGTCTGCTGCACGTGGAAAACACTTAAATGGCTTGTTCCAGAGACTTCTTCACCTGTCTGGGGATTATTTCACTTCCAAAACATTATTTTCATCACTGTGGTTAAAAAGTCATTACTAAGGACACACCATCTGCTAAGAATTCTGTGTGCTTTATTGATTCATTCAATAAATATTCATGACGCACCTACTATGGGCCAGGCACTGTTCTGGACAAGAACTCAGGAACAGCAATTACCAAAATGAATGACATTTCTGGGGTTGGGGAGCTGATGTTCCCATTTAATACTCACCCATTAAAAAACAAACAAACAAACAAACAAACAAGCAATGAAGTAGATTCTAATCACACTTAGCAGATGGGACTACTGTCACTTAGAGTTATTAAATACCTTGACTTTTGCTATTATACACACTGCCTTAAATGAACCAGTAATACAAAACAGCTGTGTTAGAAAACACAGGTGGTAACCAAGTCTTATGAAGGCAGACTTCAAAATATTCAGAGTAAAGACAGGTATAAACTTGTGATGGGAGACCCTACAACAAATATTGTTAAAATTAAGTTACTTATATTAAAATTGTAATTGCCTTGATATAATTGTGGTAATCTTAATGAAAATGAAAATGAGAAACTCTTCAATAATGGTAGTTGTAATCAGAATTTTGTCCACAAGGGTTCATGGATGAAAGTCTTAGATTTATAAATTCCCTGAAATTATAGGAAATTTGGATGGCTAGGTATACTATTTGAGGAAGGGGTATCCAGAGCTTTCATCAGGTTCCTAAAAGTCTGTTCATTCAAAATGGTCTAGAATCATCACTTCAGAAGTCAAATATATCCCCAAAGGGGGCTTTCCAATAGATTTCACTGTACAAGAGTATATTAAAGAAGAACACATAGTACCAGATATTTCTAGAGAATACTATTCATCAGGAAGTCTTAGCCCCTAAATGAACTGAAGTGAGTGAAAATTATTGGACAAATATATAAAAAGTCTCACTTACCTATATTCCAAATAAGAGCAGGGAAGGTCCAGGTTTGCCTGTGGCTCAGGTCCAATTGTACAATGCTGACAGATGACAAGCAGAGAACAGATCTGATAAGGTCTGATGATTTTTCTGCCTTGGTTGTCAAGGAGAGTGATCTTCAGATAGGAAAAGTAGGGCAAATGCTGGTGGGAGGAAATCGAAGTCTGCAATCCATATGAAGTCTGTAAGAATTTCTATGTCTCAATTGCACTGGTCTCTTAGCTTTCAAATATTCCTTATTTAGAACTTCAAAGAAACTTAATATAAGTTCATCCATCTAACTTAGATATCCTTACGGAATCATTAAAATTCGAAATTTTGAAAGACTAGAGGTGGGCAAACTTCACTCTGATGTTCCAAAACAGGTCAGACAACTTGACTGCAGTCAAGGGTAGAGAATGGATTGTTTAAAATGTATTTTTGTGAGTACATAAAATGAAGCCAGGCTCATTTTCTTTTAAGCTAGTGCTTCTCAAATAAAAGATTTTGGAGATGCAAATGCAGTAAACACACTGCATTCCATAGGATGTTTAATAAAATTTCCTATTTGGGAACATTTTTTTCCTAGAGCCAAGTGCAACATGACCTTACCAATGTTAAATATGGGAAGTGGCTGACTGGATGGAAGTGGTGTCACCTACTCAAATATCCGTCTTACTGAAAGCAAAGAGATCTAGAAGCTGAATAAGTATGGTTAAAAGCCGGCCCTGGAATCAGACATTTTTATTTTGAAGATCTAGAACCGTTCTTTCTTTCTTTTTTTTTATTTTTTATTGTTATGTTAATCACCATACATTACATCATTAGTTTTTGATGTAGTGTTCCATGATTCATTGTTTGTGTATAAGACCCAGTGCTCCATGCAGAACGTGCCCTCTTTAATACCCATCACCAGGCTAACCCATCCCCCCACCCCACTCCCCTCTAGAACCCTCAGTTTGTTTTTCAGAGTCCATCATTTCTCATCTAGAACCATTATTTCTAGATTATGACCTTGAAAAAGTCACTTTACTTTTCGGTTTCAATGTAAAATGGGGATATCAATGTTATCTACCTCCCAGGGTTCTGTGAGGATCAAAGAAAATGATGCCAAAGAAGTGCTTACCAGTAGGCCTAGGCTGGCATAATGCTCAATAAATGGTTACTTTTGTTGTTATTTTTATTCCTAGCTAATTAAATGTAGTAGTTTTTGGTAGTTATAAACCCAAGCAATGCTCAAGGAAAAGGGGCCCATATAATGGCATAATAAATTTTAGAACTCTTAAAAAAATTATCATATGAGGGATATTAGTAATAAGTGTAATAAGCCCTAATCTCCTCACATGTTAATATAATGCTCCATTAAAATGTTATTAATAATCATTAATGTTAATTGTATTTCAGAGTGAACTCTGCCAAGGTACTCAGAGAACTGTGAAGGCATACATAATAAATGTCTTAAACATTATAAAAACTTGTGAAATAACAGTATTGATGTACACGTAAATGGTTCATTGAAAGTAACTGAAGATAACCACTATAATTTGCATATTTTAAATGCATTTCTATATTTTAGTGTCCAGTTATTCAGCACTGTGAAAAAGATACCTACTTCTCAGTGAATCGTTATCATAACCACCACTCACTGAGATGCTTTGCAACCACAGTATTTTCAACAGGGCAGGAATCCAACAGGACTGAGTTTGCTCAGTCCTTAATTTGGGAGTGTGGTAGGCAATTCTGGAAGCTGTTAACCAAATGACCTTTTCCTATGACTCTACTGTGTCATTCTAACATTAGGACATTCCTATTTATTTATTCTGTCTTCAGTCCATTTATTGAGTTTCAGCAATCCAAGGCCAACGTGGGAAAGAAGACATTCGACATGGGGCCAGCCTGCAGGCAAATAATGGGTTTCATAAATAATTCTAATGCTTGATGAGCTGTGGTAAGTGCCTTATGAAAGGGACAGCTGAAGTGCTCTAGGGAGGAAGAGAAAATGCCATTTCAGTTGAATCCTGAAGCACCAGTACTATATAGATCTGTGAGTGAGCAGGCAGTGACAGCAGAGAAAGGACCTGGAAAGTAGATAGAGCACTAGCAAAAAGCAGAGGAGGGAAACACAGGTGAGCATTGGGGAACGAATGAGTTTATTTAGATTTAATTAGATCGGAACAAGGGGTCCATGTAGATTAAAGCCTGAGGAATGCTTACGGACCATAAATCGAACCCCCCAGGATACTGAAATTTAAGGCCAGAGAGAGAAAAGGGAAGTCACAGAGGAGGCTACAAAGAATCATGAGGAAAAGTGGAAAAGAAGGATAATGTGTTGTGACAGAGCCAGAAGAAAAGGTGTCAAGAAGAAGAGAGCTTCCAACAATGTCAAATCCCCAGACAGGCAAAGTAAGCACCGAAGAGTGTCCATTGAACTGGACAGTTAGGTCATTATCAGTAATCTCAGCTAGAACAGATATGGAGATATGAGGACCTAAGTCAAAGTGCAATAGATGGGGAATGAAAGGGAGAGTTAGCAAATGCAGATGAGCCTTGAGAGAGTTGCTTTTATAACACTTGGTTATGAAGAGAAAACTGAAAGCACAATATTAAGGGCTTGGAAGAAGATGCCCACTGTAGACAAAGAGAGGACAGAAGATGGGGATGAGCACGGGGTGAAGTTGGTAGGATGTGAAGCCAACAGAGCTAGACCCTTTGCTGGAAAAGGGAAGAAGAATCAGGTGGGACAGCTAAGCTTCTACGGAAAAGATGTGCCATGTGGAAAATAGAGGAGCAAGAGAACTGAGAAAGCAGGAGTAAGGGAACTGAGAAAGCAGGAAAGCATCCCAAGAAGGATGATCTCAATCTGAGGTCCCTTCGAGTCTTATTTTGTAGATTAACAATCTCTAAAGTAGAGTTGGTGCATCTTAACACATTAAAGATACTTGCTATTCATTTTCTGGGCCACACTGCAGTTTACGCATGTGCTTAATTTTACAAAAATTAGAATCTCTGTAACACTTGGAGATTGGAGTGACAATAAAAATTGTTTTTACTACTCAGAATTATAGAGCTTCTCTTGTAGTATAGTACTTATAAGAGCAGTAAAACTTAAGAGATTTTGCATATTTATCTTTTGCAAAAAGATAGATACTCCAAATTTGCTGGCCTTTTCTTTATTAAAATATGTTCTTTGCTCAAATCATAGAAGGCCATGCTCAATTGGTGTTCCTACTTTAGTCCCCACTTTTCTCAGTCTTTCTCCCTGGAGCTTCCTCGTCTTGCTGATTTCTTAATATTGACATGCCTAACGATTTTTCCAACAACCTCTCTTCTCCTTTTAACTCATTCCCTAGGAGATCTCTTCCAATTTTATGACTTAAAATGTCAGCCTACATGACTTCCACGTTTGTATTTCTACCCTGGACTTTGCCTTCAAAACTCAAGTTTTGGATATTCAACCACTTATTCACATCTCCACTTATCTCACATATATTTTTGAACACCTACTGTGTGCCAGGCGCTAGTTTCAACACTTGGAATACATGATTGACCAGACAAAACGAAACAAAACAAAACAAAACAAACAAACAAAAAACTCTGCCCTTATAAACCTTACAATCCAGTGGAGGAAGACTGAAAAATAGATAATACACAGAATAACCAAGTAAAATATGCATAATGTTCAAAAGTGGTAAGTGTTCAATATGAAGAAAAAGGACTATGCTAAATGTCTGGGGGATGCTGGGGGCAGGAGAGGTGGCATCAGGTTGCAATTTGAAATAGGGAAGTTAGGGTAGGCCTCAATGAGAAGGAGACATTTGAATGAAGATGAGATAGAGGAGGAAGAATGAGTCACAAAGAAAGAACAGTGAGTACAAGGGCCCTCAGGTCAAAGCATGTCTGGTGAAATCAAGACAGGTGTGAGCTGTGGCTGTGCCAGAGGAAGTGGGAGGATGGGGACACTCATTCTCCACCCCTCTACCTTCTTTTCTCCAAAACACTTGTCGTCTCCTGGCATACTGTGTTTATATATTTTTATGTATTTTTTCATTTGTCTATTTCATATTTCTGCTTACCTACTCTTCCAGAATGTGAGCTCTGTGTGGACAGGGATTTTACTCATTTTAGCTCACTACTATATTCCCAGTTGCTAAAAGTGCCTTGCATATAGTACAAATGCATTAAGTATCTGTTGAGTGAATGAATAAATTAGAAAGAATATGGCAATATGGTAGACCTGTATCTGCCTACATATGCATTCTTTTGATTAAAGACAGCAAAAATGTGGGTGTTGCTGTAGTCACAGGCTATTGAGGTCTGGGAACAAATAAATTACATATTTTTATAAGAATATGAATGTACTATAATGCCTAGAAGGCTAAAAGGAAAAGCACAAATATATAAATATTATTAGGGAATATTTCTGATAATATGATTTGGATTGAGTTTTTTTTTATTAGCTTTCATATTTTTTCTTTAATGCACATATATATTAAAGAAGGATAAAACATATATATCCTAAACCTGTGATATTGCTGTATTGATTTCAACTTTTAAAATAGAAAGAGGAGGTTAGTGTATATTAAAGCTTTGCTTTGGGATCTTATTATAATTTTTGGTTCAGTAGGCTATAATTGTGGTATCCCTCCACAAGCCACAATTTAATGAACCAGAAGCCTCATTTCTAGGACCAAAGAAGATTGGGAAACCTGGAGCTCGATAATGCTGTTTTGTTTCATTAAATGTTCTCACTGTCTGTGTGGAAATAAATGTGACTTGTCCCTGACAGATGATAAAAGGCAGCAGACATCATTAGTGTCCATCACATGACTCCTGACACCTACTGGAGAGAGGGCCTCTGTTTGCTCATGATCAGAGGTAAAATCTTTCTACAGATTGATTTGAAATTGCTTCTTAACTTCAATGTTCAGATCTAGCCATGAAGCCAAGAGTAGCTTCCTATTCCAACCTTAAAAACCTTCTTCTGAGGTTTTAAATCATTTCAGCTCTGTATTTCAGGTTGTTTCAAGGGGCATCAATGTTCACAAAGGAAGAGAGCTCCGTGGAATGCTTTATTAGAATTTCAAAAAAGTGCCATCTCTAGAACTGCTCATTACTAGGAACAACCTGATGCCAAGCAATTTATGATTATTAAAACATATAATTTGCATATAAATTGAATTAATAAATAGCAGCGATTATAATA